TTTCCCTTTTCTATCTGGTTTAAGCTATCAGTGACTGAAAAAAAGCATGTGCAGCAAGGGGTTAGTATTTGTAAGCTTACTGGTGAGGAGCCAGCCAGAGTCAAGAAGAGTCTTCCTACCGACTTCTGGAAAGGCAGCAGGCTACTCTTGGGAAGTCAAGAAATGACAGGATTTTGGTTAAATCTCAGTGTGGTACCATGACTAACACATATCATTGCATTTAATGTTCATTTTGCATGGGGTAAGGAGCTTTAAAAAAAATTTTTTTTTTAATCATTCAGTATAGCTCATTATATTTACCTTGATGCAGCTGTCTTCAGAAGCTTCTTAATTTCATTAATCTTGCAGGTGCTCTTCCCATGGATAACCACAAATGCATTGCAACCTCTTGGGGGAGGCTCATCAGCTGCAATCTAATATTTCAACAATTACATTTAAGCCAGCCAATACATTCTCATTTCATATTACAAATAATGTAGCCTACTCTGATTAAAACAATTCATCAACTGCTATCTCATTGTGTTTAAGTACCAAGTATGTGAGGAGAAAATAATGAAAAATTCAAAACCCAGGAAAGAACAGTGTATCAATTTCTCCAGACTCCAACTATCATCAATATCACCAGCTTAGCAAAAGAACATTAGAGAAGTTTGTATACAAACTTTTAAACAAATGTTCAACATACTTCCATAATAGCAGCGCACTTTATAAAGTACAGCTTTCAAAAGCTGATCTTATGAATTGCTGAAACATACTTAAGGTTGTCATATTTCTATCCAGCTAATTACAAATATGACTTTCTTGTATGCCAGCATCTACCAATTATTGGTTTCCTGAAAGTTTGCAGCACAGAGTAAGAACAAACGAGAAATTCACATCTTCAAAAGCAAATTGATTAAAGGAATTTTCTTCTACATAGAGGCTCAAATAGGCTTTTTTTTTTCCTGAAGAGATATGGTTTCCTATCATGGAATCAGGCCAAAGTGTTGAAATCAAAGTTACTCAAGACTTGAAGCAAAGATGTCCCAGCCAAAATGGCCAGGGATACTAGAAGTTGTAATCAGCAGTTTCTGGAGTGATACCAGTCTCTGATCTCTGTTCTTAGCTTTTTAAGACACCCACAGGATTCAGCTAAAAGACACCAAACTGCAACTTCCCTTACTCTTCCACAATATATAAAATGAACAGAACTTGTATCCAAAGTACCATAGGTTCTCCTGGATCTCTCACTAATTATAGAGGCCAACTGGAAATTCACTTCTGAGCAAACTCCTGGAGGAAGAGGTCATTCAGATGCCTCTTTCCTGGCCTAAACCCATTTAGGGACGCCTCTTGGCTAAGGACTGGCGCTTACATGGTAGCCGTCAAAAGGAGACTAAGGGAGCCATCAAAGTAATCTAAACCAAATGGCAAGCATTTGCAAGGAGAATTGCTTGCTGAGTGAGGACAGCCACTAAAAGGAGCTATTATTTTAAAGTTTCTATTTGGGATGGTTCAAATGAAATAACCTGAGAACTGTAATCATACTCAGATTCCTAGCACGCACAGCCAATTTTACACACCTGCTGAAACATCTGAATAGTTGGGGAAAATGCTCGTAAGGAGAGAGAAAATTTCAGAAGGTTAATCTGCAAATTTGACAGGAACTGCCCAGCTTTCTTCAGGAGTAAGTTGTAATAAGAGTGTTCCGAGACTGTATTAAAAAAGAAAAGAAATATAAGTGAAATATAAATACCTGGGCAAAACAAAATATTTATGGAGCTAAACTTTCAAACATCAGCAGCTTGATAGCACAGTGTTCAACTTTATTGTGGGTTCGGAAGAAGAATGGAAGTAGCCAAGTAAGAAAGCCTGAAGAATAGACATGGGTATAACTACCTGGTAAAGCCTTTCAGGAAAGCGTGAAAAGCTGCCTTAAAGTGATGCTATAAACCTGCAAGTGTTGCTCCAGACAGCATGACTTGAAGCAATGGTTAAAACTTAGGTTCGGGTTAGTTATTTGGAGGAACTTCCTGAGTGTACAGGTTGTCAGCTCAGTGTAGCAGACTGCCACATGAATTGGTGAGGCTTGGATGGTCATCGGTCAGAGATGTTCTAGTGGATCTGCAGTGAACAGGGAATTGGTCTCTTCCAACTCTATGTTTCTATGTGGTTGAGCCTAAGACAGATGTGAAATCCCTTTATATAACCTCTACCAATTGCCTTTACTGTTTTCATTATGTCACTGTTTGCCTGTTTTGTTTTAAATTATTTCTACAAATTGTTCACATTTCAGGTAACTCTGTAATCATCCCACAAAACCTGGGTTATTGGGCAGTTTAAAAATAGGAAAAATAAATAATCACTTTGCCAAATGAAAAGACCTGTAACATGGATGAAATGACAACATGAAGGCACACATGTAAAAGTGAAAAACACAAGGTAGAACTGGTGGCAGGATAAACAGAAAAAACAAAAACAGGATTCTTTTTTCCACAAAGTGATTATGGATGCGACTGTCTTTTGACAAACAGCAATTACAGTTCCAAACCTGACTGAACACCTGGGCAGGTCCTGAAGGACTAACAATTAACCTGAAAGCACCACCCTCATAACAACTGAAACATTTAATGACTATTGCTTTACTGAATAAACCATTTTGAACATGTAACAATTTGATATGAGGATGGGAGAATATCTAGCCCAGGACACACTTTATGTCTGAAGTCCATTTACTACACCTTTTTTGCCTTTAGGTACTGAAAAGATGTAGACCTGGGAAATGGAAGGAGTTGTGAAGAAATTTAGTTTCTTACCTACTAGCTCTAGATAAGAAGAAGACATAAACCTCCCTTGAGTCAATAGACTCCTGGACATGCTCATGTAGTTTATTGGCAATACAGAAGTGAATGTATTACTTTCTTCCAGGATTCCTTTTTTGACTATCCAATCTAGCCTACAGTGTTTCCTGATATTCTCCCATACCAGTATTAACTGTGTTTGACTTTGCTTAACTTTTTCGGTATCAGTCAAGATCAGCTAGGTTTTGCTACCTGCTGTGACAATGGCATACATACCTGGTATGTGTATCATTCCAATCCAATTAATACTAGAAAGATTCCATTGGATCTAGAAATAGATGCAATACAGAACCCTAGAACATGTACTGAGCATTTTCTTTATATGGTCTCTGAGAGCTGACAATTTGTTGTCAGCATGATTGAATATGATCTTGAATCTGATAACAACTGAGATTTACAAAAACAACTTTACAGTTTTATTAAAAAAAATAAATTTTCCCTAACATTCAAGCAAATCCAGATTTACATGAATTAAGAGATAATTAGAAGCACAATCTTCTAATCAGCATGATTAAAAGAGTCTGCAACATTTTGAGCATTTGACCATAATTCTCACTTTCACGCTTTTGATTCCCATAGCAAAATTAAACTTTTTG